GGAACCGCCGAGAACATATACGGGTACATGGGGCTCACGGCCAGACCTGGTGGGGGGAGGGAGAACATGGGGGCACGGAGACGGAGAGTAGCGACGGAAGAGAATGCAAAGGATGGGATGGGAGCGCTGATGGGAGAATGCAAAGGATGGGATGGGAACACTGAGAGTTTGGCAGCGCTGGTTTAGATCGACACCACACAAAGTGATCTGCTCACTCTGTGAGAATCAGCTTCAGCATGTTTTGTGCCAAATCGAAACACGCCCTCACCTCTCCAAATCCGTGCTCACCTCTTCCCACCCCTCCTCACCTCTTCCCACCCCTCCTCACCTCGGATCTGCTCAATGTGGCCTGTGAGAGTCAGCTTCAGCTTGCCTGTCGCCAGCTCCCAGATCTGTGCACAGGGGGTGGCGGGGGCGTGGGTGGGGGTGGGGGAGTGGTTGGATGAAGTGGCAGGGACTATTGTCTCGTAAAAATGGGGAGTTGGGCATGATCAATAAAGGCTTAGCACAAAGTCATTTTCTATCCACTGTTATACTTTAAGTCGAGAAAAGTCCAGGTACACCCAGGTGTGAGTTGTCACCTTGATGGTGCGATCAGCAGAGCTGGTGCAGAACCACTCGTTGCCTGGTTCAAAGGCCACTGATCGCACCCACTACACCCATGTGCCCTCATGCACACACGACGCAACACACACGCTGACAGACACACACCGCCCACACTAGCCCACCTTGATGGTGCGATCAGCAGAGCCGGTGCAGAACCACTCGTTGCCTGGTTCAAAGGCCACTGATCGCACCCACTACACCCATGTGCCCTCATGCACACACGACGCAACACACACGCTGACAGACGCACACCGCCCACACTAGCCCACCTTGATGGTGCGATCAGCAGAGCCGGTGCAGAACCACTCGTTGCCTGGTTCAAAGGCCACTGATCGCACCCACTACACCCATGTGCCCTCATGCACACACGACGCAACGCAACACACACGCTGACAGACGCACACCGCCCACACTAGCCCACCTTGATGGTGCGATCAGCAGAGCCGGTGCAGAACCACTCGTTGCCTGGTTCAAAGGCCACTGAGCGCACCCACCCCATGTGCCCACTGATCACCTGGCAGGGCGTTTCAAGGGGGGAGCCAGGAAAATCAAGGGAGATGTGAAGGCATGGGAAACAGGGTTGGATCGTGGGCAGCAACTTGACTTGAAGGCCACCGAGCGCACCCACCCCATGTGCCCACTGATCACCTGGCGGGGCGTTTCAAGGGGGGAGCCAGGAAAATCAAGGGAGATGTGAAGGCATGGGAAACAGGGTTGGATCGTGGGCAGCAACTTGACTTGAAGGCCACCGAGCGCACCCACCCCATGTGCCCACTGATCACCTGGCGGGGCGTTTCAAGGGGGGAGCCAGGAAAATCAAGGGAGATGTGAAGGCATGGGAAACAGGGTTGGATCGTGGGCAGCAACTTGACTTGAACGCCACCGAGCGCACCCACCCCATGTGCCCACTGATCACCTGGCGGGGCGACTAGGGAGGAAAGGAGGGTGGGATGCGACGGACAGGTGGGGAAGATGAGGAGGTAATAAAAAACGAGGGCATAGGGATCAGGGTTGAGTCGAAGTCAGCAACCAAAGAGAAAAGACCTCTTGGGACCATAGTACACTGTTCTCAACAGCAGTCTCATACAATGAAGTTATTTACCGCACAACTTCAGAAGTGCGACCATATTTTTTTACCCTGGACATGAGGAGGACCGTGAGGGGGCACATGGAGTAAGTTCGGTCAATGGCAAGAGAAAGACGGAAAAACGAAACAACGCATACGAAGGAAGGAACATTTTACATTAAAAAATCCCAACTGCCATGACTCATGACCCAATAGCAAGCCCAAGAGGTGGCTGGGTAGGTAGGGTAAGGTTGGGTAGGGTTGGGTATGGTCGCGTAGGGTTGGGTTGAGTTGAGTTGGGTTGAGTTGCACTGACCCGGTAGTTCTTCCAAGGCGGGTGCCACTCGGGCTTGGGCCACTTGCTGGGCAGACGGCGGATGATGGCTGCACTGGGCTTGTACCTGGGGGTGTGGGGGTGAAGGGGAAGGAAAGCGGGGAGGGAAGAGCGGGAGGAAGAAGGTGGGGTGGAAAGAAGTGGGGTTTGATGGAGTGCAATAGGTGTGAGGAAAAAAAGGAAAAGGACACAAATGAGGTGAGTCATGAGATAAGAAAATGATACGCACAAGCCGATAAGACAAGTTCCGGGCGACTGGGGACGAAGAACGCCATTGAGAAAAGCAAAGGAAAAAGGGGGTCGAATGTGCATGACGGCACGTCACGGCAGCACCGTGAATGCCACACATTACGACTGCCAGTGATGCCACCCGCCCGCACCTGTCCGCGACGGTGACAGCATTGGAGGGAGCAGCCGCAGCAGCAGCGCCCGGCGCTGTGAGCGGCACCATAGACCCCTGGCCTGTGGAACTGGGGGGGACGGACAGCATGGTGGGGGCATGGTGGGGGGATGGGAAAGTGGCTCTTGAGTCGACTCAACAGCCAGACTCTGTGAGCGGCACCATTGCCCCCTGGCCTGTGAAACTGAAAGGTCACGATGGGGGGCATGGAGATGGAGACACAGGGATGGGGATGCCACACTCTGCAGATGGAGATGGATGGGGTGGGAAGCAGAAACTCAGGGGTGAGAGTGTGACATGGGGGGGTTACAGAGGGGGTGGAGGGGCGGTCCGAGGGGGGAGGGGGGGGGGGGGGGGAGGGATGAGGAAACGGGGAAACGGGGAAACGGGTGGGTGTTGGGTGCAGATGTGGGAGTTGAGTATATGAATACAAGGCGAGGCTGGGCAAGAGCAAGGGCAAAGATAGAGTTGCCCCTGACTGTTGAGCCCAGGATGTGAACACGTGGCCCACGTGGTTAAGTTACGGGCTCATCGTGCTGCACGCGAATCATGAAAAAGGAGTCACTCGGTCCAACTCAATGCACAGCCAGAACTCGTTTTGAGACGTCTCAAAGCAGACAGAACTCTATCGAGCACCGTGCGTGTGACTCAGCGACCATACGTGGTAATTGTGGAACTGTGGTAACCGTGGTGCTAAACCCTGTTACGTGGTAACCTGGTAACCAGCTGACCTGGAGGCGAGCACAATGGCGCTGGAGGCACCGGGCGCTAGGCCACCTGCACCACCTGCAGCATTGCTGCCTGAGCTCCATGTCATGCACGGGGAGAGGGACAGGGGGAACAGGAGGGGTGGGGAACATGAGAGGGGAGAACAATTGATAATGCCTCTGGTGCACACATGTCAGCTGAGCAGAGGAGTCTGAGCGCTTAGTTCCCGTGGTCGAGTGCGATGCTGGCCTCATGGTGGGAGGGAGTGGCACGGAAGAGGATGGAAACACGCGCTGGGCAGCGGCGATAGGAGAAAACGGAATTCATGCGTGCGTTGAACAGAGCGGTAGTGAAGCGGGGTGACGGCGTGGCAAACAGGGCCAACAGCTTACCAGGCGCGGAGGGGGGCGCGGGAGGCCCTGAGAGCCCCACTTGCGGCTGCGCCGCCGCCTGCTCCACCACCGCTGCCAGCGACGGCAGGCTTCCGCCCGCGCTTGCCCCCGCCGCTGGCGCGCCCGCACCCGCGGGCTGTGCGGAGTCCTTGCTGGCTTGCCCCGCGGGCAGCGGCGGGGGGAGATCGCGCACGACGAGATACTCGTCGCGGATCTGCGGGGTTGCGGGGCGAGACGGAAATCAGGGTTTGGGTGAATGCGGTGTTAGGCGCGATGGATTAGGGTAAGGTAAGGCTGAGCAGAGACTGGTTAACTGCAGGCACCCAGGGTGCTATAAAAAGTCAGAAATATTAAGCTGCACGTTATGCTGTTAAGCGTCGCGAGTTAGTGCACAGCGAGAATGAGTAGGGAAAGTCCTGATTGAGTGCAGACAGCGAAGCGGTTGGCGGCTCATTGCGCGCCGAGCGGAGGTGTGATAGCTCACCTTCACTGCTTGTCGAATTGCACGGCTGAAATTCGTCGGACGACCAGCCGAGCGACAAGGGACGTCGATGGACACAGGAGGGCGAGAAAACGGGAAAGATTAGTCAATTCGGACATGGCGCGAAACGAACGTGCTTATGCGAGAGAGATTGAGAATTGAATATGAATTTCAGCGGCGACAGAAAGATCGCGGCAGCGCAGCGGAGACACTTAAAGCGCAACGCGGCGCAGCGCAGCAGGTGATGGTGACGGGCGAAGGAATTGAGTCAGACCTGGTTGGGTCGCGAACAAATCCATCGGACTTTTGTTGCGAATCGAAGAACTCGTAAGTGCGTTTCAGCGATCGGAGGACTAGCTTCTTGAGAGACTGCGGTTCCAGATCGTCAGCCATTGTGGCTACTGCCGCCACGGGAGCCATGGCGGCCTCAGATATTCCCACGAAACAAGACCTTTGCTCGTCGGCTCGTCGTAAAAGGAAGGCGATATTTCTTCGGGAACTGTTCGAGGACGCGTACAAGCTATTCTACAGCACACATCACTCTTTGATTTACATCCTTACGTCACGAGTCACCCATAACATAAGCCATTCATGAGACCGGTATTCGAGCAATAGGCATCAATAAGATAGATTTAAACCATATGTTGAATTAGTTATAATAAATTAAATGGGTTATGTTAATTTCTTTATAAGGAGTTCAAGGAGAAAATAGATATTCTGTCCAATTGCCAGCAAGACAATCTTTGTAAGGAAGGTGTCACATTGTTAGGGATCGTAGCCAGTGTTCTAATGAGTCTCTTCCGTCGTTCAAACCCAGCAGTTCTTTAGCGAGTTTCTGTCACACAAGCTGTCTGCAGCATCACACTTGCTGGACTCTTTCTCGCACACCTTCGCAAATCGTCAGTCTCCACCTCAATCATTCACTTCGTATTCAGCGCGCGTCGCGTCCTGCGCGTCCCGTAGCTCTAACGTACCATATACGCCGCTTCTAATCCACCCTTGAGTGCGGCGCGATGGCGCTCAAGTTTTTGAACAAGAAGGGGTGGCACACGGGGAGTCTGCGCAACGTGGAGAAGGTGTGGAAGGCGGAGCAGCGCGAGGCGGACGAGCGCAAGAAGGTGGACGAGCTGCGCAAGCAGATCGCGGAAGAGCGCGAGGCGGAGGAGTTCCAGCGCCTGCGGGAACAGGCGGGGCTCGTCCCGTAAGTGCCCGCGAATCCCTTTTATTGTTAACTCTCCGTAGCGTGGCTATGGTGCGTCGGCCCGTTGGCGCACCCAATTTCGTCAGGCTTCCCGCCGCTAGCCCCGGCTCGTCAGGCCGCGGGGGGGGCCTCGTCAGGCCGCGGGGAGGGCCTCGTCCAGTAAGAGTTTCGCACCCAAAGAAACGATAAAAGATGACATGAAACACTTCCTTTCATGTCATCGTTCATCAAACCGTATGGTTCTTGAGAAAGAGCCATTTTTCAAATGATTATTACTATCATTTTTTACTTTCATCGATGCGTTATTGATCTTCGTATCGTAGCGTGGCGACGATGCATGTGGCCCCCGCTCGCCACGGTCAAAAGCATGGATCGAATCAGGGCCCAGCAATACCCTTCCCCTTGAACCCCCCTTTCCGTCCTGCTCCCTCCGCCCCGCAGGCTGCAGCAGCGGGTGGACTTCCTGTATGAGTCAGGGCTCTCCACTCCACCAGCAAGGGCATGAATCGGATCAGGGCCCGGCAACACCCTTTCCGCGAACCCTCCTTCCCCTATCATCCGCCCGCCTGCCCTGCCTATCCTGTCCCTCTCGCGCAGGCTGCAGCAGCGAGTGGACTTCCTGTATGAGTCAGGGCTGTCCGCTGGCAAGGGCATGGACGACTTTTGACGCTCCTCTATAACCCCACCGCGCCCCACCGCGCCCCACCGCGCCCCACCACACCCCGTCACCAGGCTGCAGCAGCGAGTGGACTTCCTGTATGAGTCAGGGCTGTCGACCGGCAAGGGCATGGAGGGGGGTGGTATGGGCGGCATGGGAGGGGCGTCCACGGACGAGCTCATGTCGCAGAAGGTGGACTTCTCCGCTTCCGCGCAGACAGGCGCTCTCCCGCCTATTTCTAAGGTGCGCTGCCAGGCGTCTCCTTTCCCCCCTTTCTCCAAGGTGAGGGTTTTGTGTTGACTCAAAGCTCGATGAACGACGAGCGAGCTCATGTCACACAAGGTGGACTTCTCCGGTTCCGCGCACGCACACAGGCGCCCCCCCGCCCATCTCCAAAATGCGGCCCCCAGTTGCCCGTCCCCATGGGCAACACTCGTCTCAACGGTCCTGGAGTGTCCACTCACTCATCCACTCTCGTCCCCACCCATGAGTGTCCCTCTCTTCGCATCCACTCATCCTCCCCCCCTCGTCCCCTCCCATCTCCTCTTCTCTCCCCTTCCCCCCTTGCACTGCAGGCGTCTTCTGTCCGCGGCTCTCTGCTCGCCACGGAAAGGCCATGGAACAGGAGGGCGGACTGCCAGTGCTGACTGACTGCCAACGACATGTAGCGGCGGTTGCTCTCAAACCCTCGTTCAGGAGGTTCCCCTTTCCACTCCTCTCCCCTTACCCCTCCCCACTCCTCCCCACTCCTCCCCCCACCCTCTTCTCCCCCCCCCTGCACTGCAGGCGTCCACTGTCCCCGGCTCTCTGTTCAAAGCGGATGGGGAGCAGGGCGAGGGGCCGCCCGTGGTGAGTGCGAATGAGATGTGGCGGCGGCTGCACTCGGACCCTCTCGTGCTCATCCGACAGCGCGAGCAGGAGGCGCTCACCCGCATTAAGAACAACCCCGTTAAGATGCAGATGATCCGCGCTCAGGTGAGGGGGAGGGGGGGAGGGGTGGGGAAGGCGGATGCGGAGGTGTGGTGGGATGGGAGCAGCCAGGCAGCACAGCGGGTAGCACAACAGGCAGCACGAGCAGGAGGCACTCACCCGCATCTGCAACAACCCTGTTAAGATGCAGATGATCCGCGCTCAGGTGAGGGGGGAGAGGGGAGGAGGATGTGGGGAGGGTGGGGAGGTTGAGGGAGGTTGGGGAGGGCTGCACAAGAGGTGAGACGAGGATGCCAATAGGAAGGAAACAGGTGAGATGGGAAGAGTGGGAGGGTGGGGAAGGCGGTGGGTGAAATCGTCCTGGTTGTTCTTTGTTGACCTTATATGCTCATCAGCACACACTTTCGTGAACTTTCAAAGAGGGATTGTCCCTGGTGTGCATTCTTCGCCTTGCCTGCTCATTTCCCACTCTCTTTGCCTTTGACTTGTTGACTCTTTCATAGGCTGAGGCGGTAAAGGGCAAGACGCAAAGCAAGAAGGAGAGGAAGAGGGAGAAGAAGGAGCGGAAGAGGAAGCGTAAGGAGGAGCGGCGGGCGAGGAAGGAGAGGAAGAAGCGGAGGAAGCGGAGCGAGAGCGAGAGCGAGAGTGAGAGCGAGAGCAGCAGCAGTGGCAGTGAGAGCGAGAGCGACGATGGTGGCCGCAAGGAGAGTAGGGAGGACAGGCGTGGTGGAGGCAGAGGGGGAGTGGAAGAGAAAGGACAGGGCGGGACAGGGCTGGGCGGGCCAGCGCAGGACGGGATGGGGCAGCGTGGGAAGGAGAAAGGTCCGGAGGTGGGCGGTAGAGGGGATGATGCAGATGAGGTGGGGAGGAGGCATGGGTGGGATGGTGAGAGAGGGAGCAGGGAGGCAGATGGCAGGGAGGGGAGATTCGAAGGAAGGATGGGAAGGAGTGATGGCGGTGGCAGGGAGGGGGGGCGTGGTTGGGATGATGAAGAGGGGAGGATGGAGCGTAGGAGAAGGGTAGGTGGCGAAGGGGAAAGGCGAGTGGGGGGGCAGCTGAGGGCTGGTGTTGGTGGCAGGAGGGATGGGGAGGAGAGGAGTGAGAGGGGAGGGAGAGGTGAGAGGGGAGGGAGAGGTGAAAGGGGAGGGAGAGGTGAGAGGGAAGGGAGAGATGAGATGGAGAGGAGGGATGCACGGGATAGGAACGAGAAGTATGTGATGGAGAGGAGTGAGAGGGGAGAATGGGACGAGAGGGAGAGGTATGGGAGGGGAAGCCGAGACGGAAGGGAGAGAAGTGAGAGGAAAAGGGGGGAGGAGAGAGGGAATCGTGGTGAGAGGGAGAGGAGGGATGAGGAGGAGAGCGAGGCATTGAGAAGAAGGGCGAGATGGGAAGAGCAAGGGAGAAAGTCAGGTCGAGAATTAGCGTGTGCACAGGAGGCGGAGGAAGGGAAGGCAAGGCATGCTGGTGAGGGGGGCAGAGAAGGGAGGGATGGAAAGAGAGGCGAAGCAGTGGAGGCAGTGAGAGGTGCGAGGCGGAGACACGACAGCCCTTCTGAGAGCGATGGGGAGAGTGATGGTGCGGGTGAGCATGGGAGAGGTGGTGGCAAGGGAGGTGGTGGCAGGAGTGCAGCGCACACAGCACAGGAAGGTGGGGAGAGGAGTGGTGGCGTGGCGGCGAGGCCAGGAGGCGCGACGCAGAGGCATGACAGCCCTTCAAGAGGCGGCAGGCAGAGGCACCACAGCCCGTCAGACGGCAGCGATGGGGAGGGGGAGGGGCGCAGAGCAGCGCCTCTCTACGGCCTCTCCTTCCACCGCATGGCCCCCTCCCCGCCTCGCACCGCCCCCTCTGCACCCCCTGCCCGCGCACTTTCACCTCCTGCTGCTGCTGCTGCTGCTCCTCCTGGGGTCTGGTGTTGCAGCAGGCACGGGCAGGAGAGAGGAGGGCCCTGGCAGTGGCAGCCAGAAGAGGCCCGGGGGAGGGTGGCAGGGGCGGCAAGGGCGGCAGAAAATGACGGAGGAGGAGAGGCGGCGGCGGCTGGCGGAGATGGAGGAGAATGCGGAGGCGGTGGAGGGGGAGAGGCGGGAGCGCATCCAGTGGGCGGCGCAGCGAGATGCACGCGAGGAGAAGGAGAGTGGTGCTGCTGCTACTCGTGGGACCTTCCTCCGGGTAGGCTTGCCGTTGCTGGGTTTCTTCTTGTTTTTCCGATGTGGCTGGATGGGCTAGGTGCCATCCCAGGGGTGCTGCTTCTGCCGCCCGCGAGATCTTCCTTCAGGTAGGCTTGCCGTTCTGTTTTCGTTGTTCAGTTCCGTTTTTACTCTCTCTGCGGAGTAATGGAAGCTTTTTTGTGTAGATTTCCTGGTGCCGGTTCTGTCAGTGACCAGAGCACGTTTTTGGTTGTGGCTGGGTGAGCAGGAGGCGCAGAAGGAGGTGTATGGAGCGGGCAGTGGGGCAGCAGGGGATGCGGCGCTTCAGGCAGCAGCGGGTACGGGCATGTCGATCGAGAGCAGCATTCGCCGCCGCTCACACTTCTTGGAGAAGGGGAGGGGCGATTCAAGCGCCTTCAGACGATGATATGTTTGAGTGTGCGATGATTGCGCTGCAGCTTGACTCAGAATTGTGGGGCCACTGCTAAACAATCATGTGGATGACAATAATGCGAGCATCAGGTGGTGCAATTCTTGATGATCAGCGGCTAATTGTAGTGCATAATGGACTGGCATTCACGGACATAAATACGGTACAGTTGATTTGGGAAAAAACGTTTGTGAAGGATCTAGTAGGAACCATAAGTATTCGTGTTGCCGCTTCCAACAGCTGATCACTAATTTAGCTATCGGGTGTGGTCAAGACGCACATTTGCCGCCACGCTTCGAATTCAAAAGCTGTCAGGGCCTGGCACAAACCGCGGTTTGGTCTTCGTTTCTGCAGGCAGTTTCCACCAGGCACCAGCGTTCTGTAACGCACTAAACAAGATTGCAGAGCTCTCGCTGCCAAGTGTTCGTTCAACCTGCTCGACCAAGATGGACCTGTGGTCATCCGCTGGCGGCTCATCTGTGCCTCGCCTTCCATCCCATCCCGCCTTGGGAACTCCGCATCGCCTGAATCGTACAAGAGACGTACGACCCGGACAGGCCAACAGTGCCCCACGCGACGATGTTCCCTAGGTAGGCGATTCCTGCTTTCGGACCACTACAGGACGAATGAGAGGCATTAGAAATCATATTTGCAAAGAAAGCGCTTACAGCAATTATGTCGTACGGCGCATGCTCTCGGCCGTCAGTTGTCGGTGAAGCGAATAGATCGGGCGGTGTGACTACACGGATGGGTACTGACTTGTGCAAGATTAAGCGGCGACGAGAATGATTGGATAGTCGCTATTGGTGATTCTTAGGCACTGAACCGAACAGAAGTACGCACAGAACCGACGAAGACGTCGTTAAAATTCAGAAAGTGATACGCTCTGGCGGGAGCAGGATGTTTCAGACATCAGCGAATGACTTAATAGACCAATAGCCGCTATTGGTGGTAAATAGGCACTAAACTAATACACCAGGGGCTGAACCGAGCAGAACAGGAGCGGAACCGAGCAGAACAGGAGCGGAACCGAGCATAACAGGAGCTGAACCGAGCCGGACAGCCATCAGCAGCGCGCGATGGCGGAGGACGCGGTGGACCGGCAGCTGGCGCTGGTGGTGGAGATCGAGGAGGCGGGGCGCGCCGCCAAGGTGCAGCTCGAGAACTGCCTGCTGCTCAGCGACCGCCTCGGCATCCTCCGACCGCTGCTCAAGGTCAGCCCTACCCTCCGACCGTTGCTCAAGGTCAGCCGTTGATGTTTCGACCATTGCTCATGGTCAGCCGTCGATTCCCCGACTGCAGCTTAAAATCAACCGTCGATCCTGGTACCCCCATCACCAAGATGCGGAAGTACATTTCTACATCCGCGTCTAGTACCGCCTCGCCGATCGGCATTCTTTCTCGTTTCACGACTATTTTAGTCGGCAATTCTCAGACCGCATTTTCAGCTCATCGCTCGGTCATACACACTGCTACGCATCTGTACAGCGCTGTCGTCGATCCGTCGACCACTTCTTGAGGCTTCTCGTCAATCCTTAAGTCGGGCTTCTCTCACCTTCTCCTCCTCGGCGCGCGCAGGACATGCGGCCGTGGTTGGCGGCGGTGCAGATGGGTCGACAGCAGGTCGCCATCGACGCCATCCTGCTGCGACTCGAGAGGTGCGCTCGCCTGCTATCCCTTGCTGAAACCTGGGAACGAGCTTGGCAGCGATGGTTCTTGATAAAGACAATGGTGGGGATGCTGAGAATACCACTGCTGGGTTTGCTGGGTCGGTCCATCTGTGCATCTGGCATGCATGGATCCATCCGTGCATCGGTCCTAGATGCTCCAATTCACGGATCTACATTTGTTCATACATGCATAAATCTGCGGATTTGTGCGGCCATGCTGGCAGGTGTCTGAGGCGGCTCAGCACGGTGATTCAACGTTGTGGGCGCTCCAGTCGCCTCTGTGTCTCCAGCTTCTATCGAGACCTGCACTTCACGCTCAAACAGGTGTGCTTCTATCGAGACCTGCACTTCACACTCAAACAGGTGTGCTTCTATCGAGACCTGCACTTCACACTCAAACAGGTGTGCTTCAATTGAGACCTGTGCTTCACACTTGAACAGGTGTGCTTCTATTGAGACCTGCGCTTCACTGAAACAGGTGTGCTTCTATTGAGACCTGCGCTTCACTGAAACAGGTGTGCTTCTATTGAGGCTTGCGCTTCACTGAAACAGGTGTGCTTCTATTGAGACTTGCGCTTCACTGTAACAGGTGTTTTCTATCGAGACCTGCACTTCGCACTCAAAACAGGTGTGCTTCTATCAGGACACTTGCGCATCACATCCAATCATTCTACACCATGGGACCCAATCCACATGATTGCACATACACTCATGTGCTCACAAACAACCCCACTCCACGCTTGACTTGTGCTCCCATATCGCTATCCTCATCTCCACTCCCATCCCACATGCCTCATGCCGCCCCTCTCCTCCCAGGCGTCCCTCTTCCTCGCGGACTGCCTGGCGGACCTAGCAGCCCAGGCCGCCCCCACCCTTCCCGAAGCTGCCAAGCAGGCTCGGGCCATCCAGGCCGAGATCCAGCAGCTGAGGTTCGTGCCAGCTGGCAAGCAGGGACAGGCCCAGCTGGCGACGGTGTGCGGGCAGGCAACAGAGCAGCAGCGGCTGCTGCAGCAGCTGCGTGCGTCCGTGTCCTCGCTCCTCTCCCAGCTACGGCAATCTCAAGGCTTAAGCTGCCGGGGTAGCTGCAGTGGTGGTACCTGCGATGGCAACTGCAGGGGAACCTGCAGGGATGGAGACGGCAGGAGCGTGGGCAGAAGGGGTAATGCGGGGTGGGAGAAGGTACAAGGGGGTGTGCTGCGGGAAGGGAGCAGGGAGCAGGTGGAAGGGGAGTTAGTGCGGGTGTTGCAGCAGGTGGAGAGAGAGGCAGTGGTGGTGGGCGTGTTGAAAGCGCTGTGCTTTAAGTGCGGTTGGATGGAGGAGACTGTAGTGAAGAAGCTTATAAGGGATCTGGGCGAGCAGAGACGCGTGGTGGGGACGCAGCGGTGGGCTGTGGATGAGATTCAGCAGTGGCTGAAGCGGCAGGACCTATCAGCTGGTGACACGTGTTCGGTTTCCCTGAGTGGAGCATCGTCGATCAGTGAGGGTGGAGGGGTGGGAGACGGAGAGGAGGAGAGCGTGGGATGGATGAGGGGAGAAGGGTTGAGTGGAGGGGTGGGAGGGAGAGGGACGGGGAGGGGAACGGAGAGAGGTGAGGAGGGGAAGGGGAGGTGGAGGGAGGGTAAGGAGGGGTGGGAGGGCAAGGAGGGGAGGGCGGAGAGAGAGATCTTGGAGGCTTGTGAGGCGATGAAAGGGGCTGGCGATGAGTGGCGTCGTGGGATTTGCGGCTGGGGAGGCGCGCTGCTGAGCTGGCACGGGATGTGGTGAGGAGCCTGCGGCTGCGCATGGCGGACCACCAGAAGGCGTTGCAGGTGGGTGCTGGAAGGGCGCTGCAGGTGGGTGCTGGAAGGGCGCTGCAGGTGCGTGTGGGACAGATGGTGGGTGTCTTTTGAGTCGACTCAGGAGCCTGCAGCTGCGCATGGCCGACCACCAGAAGGCGCTGCAGGTGGGCTTGGGGCGGGCGGCAGGTGCGGGTGGGATGGGCGGCAGTTGGGGTGGGATGGTCGGCAGTTGGGGTGGGATGGGCGGCAGTTGGGGTGGGATGGGCGGCAGTTGGGTTGGGATGGGCGGCAGTTGGGGTGGGATGGGCGGCAGTTGGGTTGGGATGGGCGGCAGTTGGGGTGGGATGGGCGGCAGTTGGGGTGGGATGGTCGGCAGTTGGGATGGGTGGGATGGTCGGCAGTTGGGGTGGGATGGGCGGCAGTTGGGGTGGGATGGTCGGGGGGTGGGGTCACACGCTTGTTCCGCTGCTAAACCCAAGCATCCTATGCTGTACAATCCCACCGCACAGCACAGGGTGGGAGCATGAGAGGCACATTCTCAGAGAGCGTCTTCTGAATATGTTTCTTCCTCCCTCTCTACCCCCCTTTCTCTTTTGCCGCCCTCTTTCTCCCCCTCACCTCACGGGAGCAGGAGGGGCGGGACATGTGGGCCATAGGCGTGTCATGCGTGGAGGAGCCATGGCTGGCATTGCTTGTCTCGCCTCTCCATCTCGCGCTCCTTCCTCTCAGTCCTCCCTTCCCCGCTCCCTCTTCCCACACGAGCAGGAGGGGCGGGACATGTGGGCCATAGGCGTGTCATGCATGGAGGAGCCATGGCTGGCGCTGCCCTATGTCGCCGCTCCATCTCTTTCTCTTCCCTTTATCTATCCCCGTGCATGCAGGAGGGGAGTGTCATGGGTGGAGGAGCCGTGGTTGGCGCTGCCCTATCTCGCCCCACCGTCACTCTCTGAGCTCCTCTTCTCCCCCCACCACCCCACGCGAGCAGGAGGGGCGGGACATGTGGGCAATAGGAGTGTCATGCGTGGAGGAGCCATGGCTAGCGCTGCTGGCAGAGGAGCTTGCAGCCCACCGCGACGACCTGCGGGAGGTTGCTGCCCATGTCACAGCTGTCGACGCCGCTCTTAGCAGGGCTGCTTATAACGAGGCACAGGAGGGAGGTACCGCAGAGGGGAATGCTGCGGGTGGCGGTGCAGGAGGTGAGGACGGGGAACACGGTGCTGGTGCGAGTGGGGAAGGAGGTTGGGGGAGAGCAGAAGAGGCGGGGAGGGAGGGGGAGGAGGGGATGGGGAGGGGCGCGGTGGGGGTGGCGGAGAGGTATGGGGAGGTGCATGAGTGGCAGCGCGCGCTGAGGGACCTGAGCATCCATGTGCGAGGGGTGCGCCGCCAGGCCAACACCATGCAGCGCCTCCTGCTCACCGTTGAGGCCGCTGCTGCTGCTGCTGCCGCCGCTGCTGCTGCTGCTGCTGGTGCTGGTGCTGCTGCTGCCAGGGGGAGCACTGGTGTGGCAGGGGCAGGGGCGAGTGGGAGCAGAACGCCTGGGCGTGGCAATCGAGGGAGGGGGGAGAGTGATGTGGGGCCGCTGCTGGCGAGGATGGACGGCGACCTTCGGCAGTATGTGGCGGAGCTGGTGGGGCATGCGGGTGTGGCGGGCGGCGTGCTGAGTGTTCTGGAGGAGGATTTGGACGAGGCGGAGAGGCGAGGGGAGGAGGCGGAGAAAAAGAGGGAGGAGGCGGAGAAAAAGAGGGAGGAGGCGGGGAAGAGGGGCGAGGCGAAGAGAGGAGAGAAGGAGGATAAGGGAAACGAGGGAAGGGGAGAGAAAGGGGAGGGCAGGCGGAAGGAGATTGAGGGGAGGGCAGTGGGGGAGAAGATGGGGTGTGAAACTGCGGGGGAACGGGGGAAGGAGAACGCATGTGAAGCAGGGAGGAGGGAAAAGGGGGCAGGTCGAGGCAGAGGTGCTTCAGAGGTGTTGAGAGAGAATGGGCAGGCGCGGGTGGGTCTAAATGCGAGCAGGCGAGAAGAGAGGGTTGGGACTTTTGTGACTGATATGACCGTTGTGGCTGATGGAGCGATGGAGCAGGCGGGTGGGAGGCAGGGGGGAAGGGCAGGCACGAGCAGTGTGAGGGGAATGGCGCAGGGGGGGAAGAGGGATGGAGGGAAGGGGGCGGCAGGAGAGGTGGAGCAGGGTAGTAGTGGCGACGAGGGGTTCAATCCCAGGAGGGCGTACTCGGGGGAGGTACATCTGGCAGCAGAGCAAGGGGGCGGAGGGGGGTTGGCGCCAGGCGGAGCAGGGAGGGGAGAGGGTGGAGGACGGGGAGGGACTGGGGATGAAGATGGGGTAAGGAGGGGAGGTACTCGTGAGGGTGATGGTGCTGATGGTGCCTGCACGGGTGCTACTGGTGGGCTTGGGGCGGTGGGTTTGGATGGGTGTGTACGCGTGGGAGAGAGGGGCGGAGGAGAAGGGGAGGAGGTGATGGGGGAGGGGGAGGCGGCGCTGGCAGCGCTGGTGTCGGCTCTGTGGTACGGCAGTGAGGAGGACCAAGAGGCTGCTGCCGAAGCTGTCCTGGAGGTATGGCCGAGGCTGTGGTGGAGGTAGGTAGGTATGGCTGCGGAGGTAATGTGGGGTGAAATATCCTGAGTATTCATGTGTGCTCGTGGATACACAACTACAAGTGCACGTGCATGCCCTGCACATGCACTCACATTCTCCTCCCTTGCGCACGAGTCCTTCCTACCCACACACATCTCACTGCCCCGCCCTCCCTCTCAGCGCTGTCCTATCCGTCCCTCACATGCATTCGTTCCCCTTTCTCATGTACTCCTGCTTCTCCCGTATACACTAACTCTCCTACCAGGGCTGTGACACGGGAGCCATCACCGCCACGCCTTTCCTCGCAGCGCGCATACTGTCCTCCCCTCACATGCACTCGTTTCCCTTGCACACGCATGCTTCTTCTCCCTTGTGCTATGCCCCTCCGACCAGGGCTGTGACACGGGTGCCATCACCGCCACGCCTTCCCTCGCAGCGCGCATTCTGTCCGGCAAATGGCAGCCCGCCCTCGCTGCCGCCCTCAAGCCGCCCTCCTCGCGCCGCCCGCCCGTCGTCCAATCAGCTGTTGCCACGTCACTCGTCTGCCTTGCTGTCTCTGACGAGCTACGCAGTGCCCTGGCCTCCCAGGGGCTTCTTCAGGTGGGCAGGCAGCAGGCCCAGCTTCGTGGGTGTGGCAAGAATGGTCAGGTGGTATGTGGATAGTTCTTGTTTCAGGTAAATGCAGAACTTGCGATTTCTTCTCTGTACATGGCTAAACGCATGAGTAGTGGCGATCCCCACTTTTATTGCATGTGGCTAGATTTGCAAACCCCAACTTGCGATTTCTGCTCTGCGCTCGTTCTTCTCTCGCCCCATTACGCCCACCACGCCACGCCAGGCGCTGCTGCAGCAGGTGCAGAAGCCACACCGCTTGATTCTCAGCCGCTGCCTGTTCGCCCTCGGCCAGCTGGCGCGCTGTGATTCGGTGCGCTGCCACGTCACCGAGTCCGGGTCCATGTCGTTCCTCGTGCCTCTGCTGCGCTCCAAGGTGCAACCGCCGCCCCCATCCACTTACCCTCTCCCCCACCTCTGTTCGTCCACTGTATCTAACTTATAGCTAGATAAACTGAAATGGCCCCTCTGTAACGCATCTCCTGCCCTCCTAGCTTCCACTTCGTTTCAACTCCTTAATCATTTGCTGCAACCTTGATGTTTCTTCTACGTTCCCTCCTCCCCTCTCCACCCCCTCTCCCTGCTCTTCAAGAGCATGGTCGTTTGAGGTGCGTCAATAGTCAACTCCTCCCCTGCCCCCCCCACCTCACCCTGTTGTCAGGACGTGGACGTGGATGTGCACAAGTCTGCCACGCTGCTCTTCCTGCTCTTCTACAACACGAGTCTCCCTGCTCTTATACAACACGAGACTTTCGAAACCCTTTTGAGTCGACTCAAGGGTCCTCTCCCCCACCTCTCCCATCTGATCACAACTCCTCCCCACTCTCCCCAATCCGATCCCTTCTGGCAGGACGTGGAGGTGCGAGAGTCTGCCGCGCTGCTCATCAAGAACATGGTCTTCAGAGACCCCCCTCAGGACAGCCAATCGCTGCTCGCCACGCGGGCGTGTGTGGTCAAGCATGGTGCGGTCCCCCTGCTCCTCTCAGCCCTTTCCATTCAAACCGCTCTGCACCCCGCTGACACCTCCAGCCTTGACACCTCCAGCCGCACCACTGGCACCAGCTCAACCAGTGCAGAGGCACATGAGGCAGCAGCAGCTGCTGCAGCAGCAGCAGCAGCAGCAGCAGCAAGGGCGTGCATGAGTGGGGAGACCGAGGAGTACATGCTAGGGGTGGTGGGAGGGCTGGCTCAGAGCCCTCGCTCCGCCGTGCCTCTGCCCACCAGGAAGCTCATCGCCTGCATCATTCCCCACCTCGCCCGCCCCTCCACCCCCGCCGTTCGCGTCTACGCCCTCGCTGCACTCGCTGCCCTCGCTAGGGTCAACCCAGAGGGTGATTCTAACGAGGGTGACGGTGTGGAGGGGGCGGTGAGGAGGGTGGGGGGGGTGGAGAAGGAGGAGAGGGCGGAGGGGGGTGTGGTGGCTGTGGTTGAGTTGGAGGGGTTGGTGCCGGTGCTGCAGGTGGTGAGGGACGCGGCGGTGGGGGAGAGGGTGCGCCTGCATGCCTTGTCAGTGCTCTGTGCCATTGCTGGCCTCAAGAGCAGGTGAGTCGGGCTCGTGAGTCAACCATTACTTGCAGTTGAGGCAATAGTGTGTGCTCATGTAATGAGTCAACAGATGCCGGGGTGAGTGTGTGTTATACTCTCATTCCCGCAACCACCCACTGCCGACAGCAGGTGGCCCATTCTCCAGTAGAAAACACACACAAACACCTATTCCCTCTTCCCAAGGGTCTCTCACTTTCCCCTGCTTTCAGATGGTGAGGCGAGTGTATGTGACAAGCTCCTTTTTCAGTTACCAATTCTAGCCCGCGACAAGTGGGCCAGGTTATTGATCTCAAATTCTCTGCCAAAACCCCTTCATCACTCTTTTTCACCTCCACCCTCCCCCTCCCCCCACCACCCTCTATCCTGCAGGGACTACCGCTCACTCATCGCTCTAGAGGGCGGCCTTCCCCCTCTCGTCGCCCTGCTCTCCCCCACCTTCCCTCTCGACCTGCGTCTGCTCTCCGCCACCACTCTCCGCCTCCTCTCCCTCTCCCCCGTCGTCCGCCGCTCAATCCTCCTCACAGGCACGTTGCTCCCTCTTGTTGACCTGCTGAGGGAGCAGCTGCCAAATCCCTTCACCAACGTGAGCGTGGCAGCGGCGGTGGCAGCGCTGGTGCCGGGAGGAGAGGGGGAGATGAGTGCGGCGGTGCCGGTGGGGTTGTGTGCATCGGTGGAAGAGCAGTTGGTGCTGGTGGGAGCTGTGCCGCTGCTGGTCGCTGTGCTGCTAGGTGCTAGTGGTGGTGGTGGTGGTGGTGGTGGTGAGGATGTGGTGGGAGGTGGTGCGGTGATGGGAGGGGAGGGGGCAGAGCATGAGAAGGAGGTGAGGAGGGCAGTGAGGCGGGTGGCTGAGGTGAGCAGGAGGGGAGTAGAGGAGATAGTGGCGTGTGGAGGGACGAGGCTGCTAGACGGGCTTTTATCTCGCTAGAAACAGGCAGGTTTAGATCCAAGGCTGGCCAATGCTAGAAAACTGGTGCGCAGAGCAGCCTAAAGATGTGTCTGAATTTGAAATGACAAAGAGGCTCACGGGCAGTGACCTACACATTGTTCTTACATGCAGCTGCGGTAGGTGTGAAAAATGACGTGGGTGAGAAGAATGTTTGTCCCAAGATACTGAGAGACGCAAAGAAAAAACAATTAATACTGAGAGAATCATACAACCGAGCAATCTCATGAAGAGGGACATTATTTCTATGCATAAACTTTAGCAGCTACCGGTATTGCCCACAAGAGGCACGAGTTATTTTGGTGCTGGCGTCGCCTGGGCACCAACTGCTACGACAATCAGCCATTGATCCAACGGCTAGTTTCGCGCCTGTATACAAGTGACGATGAACACCCAGCCACCCCGCCTGAGCGGGTATTCGGAGTTGCGCCATCCAGCCGCGCGCGTTACGCCTTCCACGCGGCCTTGGCGCCCTGCGCCTTGCCGAGCGCGGAAGCGAGCAGGCTCTTGTCGGCGCCGCCGGCGGGGAGCATGACGGACACGCCGTTGATGGTGGCGATCGAGTTGTCGATCTGCCCCGCCACCAGCGTGCGCTGCCCCGTGCGAATCAGAATCGCGGCGTTGCGCAGCGCCGCCGCCGTGTCCGTGAGGCTCTTGCCGTACGTCTTGACGGAGAGCTTCGCCTTGGCGCTGTCGACGTCCACCGCCGCCGCCTCCAGCAGCGACACCACCTTCGAGTCCGACCCGCTCAGCTTCACCGCCGGCTTCCCCGCGCCAGGGGTGGCGGGCTTGCCGGGAGTGGCGGGCTTGCCAGGAGTGGCGGGGGTTTTGGGTGTGGGAGGAGTCTTCTTGCCGCCCTTCTTATTGGGTGTGGTGGGAGTGGAAGGGGAGGGAGTGGGAGGAGACTTCTTCGACTTCTTGTCTTCCTTCTTCTTGTCTTCCTTCTTCTTGTCCTTCTTCTCCTTCTTCTTCTTGTCCTCGTCGTCGTCGTCGAGAATTCGCCTCGTCGCAGCGTCGTCGCTGAGACCATTGGTGGCGTCGAGCTGAGCCAGGTCGCCGGACATGGCGGCGGCAAGTGCGGACGAGGCAACCTCGGGGACGGCGAGCTCGGCGGAAGCGTTGAGGCAGAGCGACGTCAGGACGAGCGCCACCAGGGGCAGCGCGCAGGCTAGCGCGGACATTCTCGAGTATGCCATGGGGAGTCGTCGAAGGCACGCGGAATTGCTCGGATAAAAGACAGGAACGCTTGAAGTGCTTGGTGTGTGAAGCTGGGATGAGATGCTGTGGTGCGGAGGAGTTATGAGAGCTATTTATGGGAGTATGGGGGGCTGTGTTGAGAGGAGGTGGAGGCTGGGAAGGCATTTCTGGAATCTCAATCGAAATTGATTGTGCGGCTCGGGAATGTGAGAGGGCGACTCGGAAATTGGGATTACTTGACGGCAATCCATGACGGAGAGCACGTCGCACGCAACCAAACTTACCAATCAGTGTGACGGGGAATGTTCGTTCGTCCGGTTAAATGTGGTTCTGGCTTGGTGGTGCCGCTGTGGCGACGAAGTGCGTCCCCAACGAGCCCACGCGACGAAATCGTGGACGATGGGTGGCTACGGCAGACTGTGAAACTTGTGCGAGCGACAACTTTCGTGGGGGTTTTATTCGCCACCTCCAGTGCCATCATCATCTTGGAGGAATCCGCCCTGAAAGTCGGGCTTGTGCCGACAAGAGCGGCGATATGGAAGCCTCGCGCGTTATCCGTGCATATTGCGTTACACCTACATTACACTTACTACAATCATGTAGGAACGAAATGGGAACAAGGAAGTGTGAACATTATATAGATTGCGGACTTAGAGCGTGTTCCTACGGCCTCATATCAGGCAACCTCTGCTGATATAACCAAGAATCAAGTAGATAGGATAAGATCTGTTAAGTCTGAGAGGAGACAATAAACTCCATGTAGTGAACTTGTTGAATAATAGTTGAAGGAGAACAAGATGATTAAAAGATAGGAGTACAAGAGATTAAATAGCAAACTAGCTAGCCATGTACTCTGAGGGGTACATTCCCTTATTAACTGTATTGCATAGCTACAGTAACCACGACTATTGCTATTCTTGACAGTTACAATGTTGCAGCGAACAACTGTCGCACGGTTGCTGGGTGGTCAAGGGTCACGACCGTTGACTTCTCTCGACGGTTGACCTTCGGGTGACCCTCGACCTTCCGCGTGCTCTATATGAGCTAATGCGGTACTGGTACAGTTAAATATCTTCAGGAATGCTTATAACCTTTCGGTTATTCCAACACTCCCCTTCATTCCTGAAGGTGAGCCATGTGTGATTTCTTGGTGATCCCGCAGAGGTTGGCGCAGCGCTGGTACTGCTGACATGGCAATTTCTTCGTCAGGAAATCTGCTGCCATGTCACCGGTCGGGCAGTACGTGAGTTTGACTCTCCCCTTGTCGATTTCGTCCTTCACGAAGAAGTAGCGAAGGGCGATGTGTTTGGTGCGGTTGACGAAGCCGGGTTTGTTCGCGATTTTTATCGCGCTCTGGTTGTCGCAGAGTAACGTGAAGTGCCCGTTCATCGTCACTTTCGCTTCTTGCAGAAGTTCCATCAGGTACAGTCCTTCGCGAACAGCTGCGCTGGCGGCGATGAATTCTGCTTCAGCTGACGAAAGGGCGATGAGCTCTTGCTTTTGAGAGTTCCAGGAGATGAGTCCAGCAGGTTGGAGTTGGAAAATGAATCCTGTGCGGGAGCGTCTGTTGTCAACATCTCCTGCATAGCCATGTAGCTGCAGGGTGGCCGTTAGGTTAGCTTCGTAGGTGAGACCGACGTCGGGAATAGAGACGAAGTATTGAAGTGCTCGGCGTAGATCCAGTAGATTCTCCCCTTCAGGTCGCTTCAGGTACTGTGCGAGCTGGCTTGCGACGTAGGAGAGATCGGGCCGGCACGTGACGGCGGCGAACAGGAGACATCCCAGCTGCTGCTGATAGAGACGATGGTCGTCGGAGAAGAGGGGTGTGGTGTCTGGCGCGTGGTTAGGAGGAGGGGTGCGGTATGGGGTGGTGAGGTTGATTGGTGCGATGGCGAGTGTTCCGGCGTATTTGGCGGCGGAGAGATGGATGGAGGAGGCGGACTGAGTCACATTGAGGCCTAGGAACTCTGTGACGTTGTGGTTGACCGTCACTTCGAGTTTCGCCTTGATGTCAACCTCGAAATGGTCCAGGAGCACCGTGTCGTCGCCGGTGTAGAGGAGATCGTCGACGTAGGCGACGAGGAGGATGAATTTGCTGCGCGATCCCCGTCTGCACATCCCGAGGTCGTGCGGCAGCTGGGTGAAGCCGAGCTCGATGAGAATGGTATGGAGATACTGCTGCCACAGACGAGGTGCCTGCTTGATCCCGTAAAGGGACTTTTGGAGAAGATACACAGCGCCGTCGTTTTCTTTGAAGGCGTGCGGCTGCACGACGAAGATGATGGCGTCGACGGGAGCGTACAAGAAGGCGCTGCCAACGTCGATTTGTCGAAGCGGTCGCCGTTTGACGGCCGCGATGCAGAGGAGAATGCGCACCGAGGTGTGGCGGCCGACTGGAGCGTAGGTGAGGGTGAAGTCCACCAGGTGCGTTTGCTCAAACCCCCGCACCACCCATCACGCCTTGTATTTGTCGATCGAGCCGTCCGCTAAGGTCTTGATGCAAAAGACCCATTTGCCGCTGAGAATTTTCCTCCCCCTCGCTGATGACCGAGGGACCAGCTTCAATGTGCCACGTTTGTTCGGTGACGCGACTTCTGCCGCCATGGCTGCTCTCCATTTCTCACTGTCGGGGCCGGACAGAGCTTGGCGGACAGTGGTCGGTTCTTTGGGAGAGGTGTGGCGAACAGCGACGGCGAGACCGAGAGCACGAAGACCGGTTTTGTTGGTCTTTTCGTAGTGCAGGCGATCGTAGTCGTGGAAGCTGGTAACTTCGACCACGTCGTCGTCACTTTCGTTGCCGAGGCGGAGGGTGTCTTGCGAGGAGTTAGGTTGCGGTAACTCAGTGTCCGGGGATCGGCGCGCCTCACTGTTGTAGTCGTGAGCTCGTGTGTTGTATCGTCGGGATCGGGTTGGTGTAGAGGTATAAATATTGGAGTCCTGTGCGGGCTTGTAAGGGGGATGCTCGGGGAATGCTCGAGTCCATTTGGGTGACATCAGCTGCGTCTGCATCTTCCGCCAGGTCAGCTTCGTCGTGTGACGTGGCGAAGCTGCGATGGCCCTCGAAGAGCCTATCTGGTAGCTTGTCGGCTTCCTGGTGTTCCTTGGAAAGGGGCAGAGTCAGCTTCTCGTAGAAGATGCAGTCACGTGATTTCGTCACCTCGTGTGTCGCGTAGTCCAGCACAATCCATGCCTTGTATTTTTTTTCGATCCCGGTCAGCAATTTTTCCGGTCCTTGCAGTGTGGGGTCTGTACTGTACCATGCAGCCGAACACCCGAAGCAGACGCGCGTCTGCTTTTCTGCCCGTCCATGCCCGGTAGGGGGAGTTGTTGTTCTCGAGGCTTCGCGAGGACAACAGGTTGTGCAGCTGAACAGCGTGGTTCATCGCAAACGGCCAATATTTGGTTGGGATGGCCGACTGCTTCATCAGGGCCCTCATCCGCGTGGCGAGGCTTCTGTTTGTCCGTTCTGCTACACCCTGCTGTTGGTGAGCGTAGGGCAGGGACACCAGGTGCTCAATCCCCTTCTGCTTGAAGAGTTCCTTGAACTCGTCTGAAAAGAACCCCAGGGCTCCGTCCGTCTGCCAAGCCTTGAGTTTTAATCCTGATTGTCGTTCAGCCTGGAGGTAAGTCGGGAAAAGGCTTGTGGGTGAGCGATGCTGTTGGGCAGACGGTGCAAGGTGGGTCAACTGAGTCCGCGGTGAGAGAACCGTTTCGGGGTACGAGTAGTGCGTCGTCGTCGAAGACTCCGGCCTTGAGAGCGATTTTTTTAGCGTGGCGTAAGAAGGGTGTCCGAGCCGTTGATGCCATGTTTCTGGTTCCGCACAATAGCCGACTGTTTTCTGATAATATTTGTGTCGCGCTGCTTCGTCGTTTGCCTCCCCTTCAGGTCCTGCATCGACGGCGTCATCGGTGTCGGCGGCGAGCGCGTGAATTGACTTTCGCTCCAGAAGCGCGTGAGGAATAACGATGATGTCGTCGGTGTCGCCAGCTTCGGCTTGGTCTCCGGTAACAAGCAGGTACTGGTTGGGCCAGTCGCGAACTGGGAGTCCCTTCATGGGGATTCTGAAGTAACTGTATTCGGCACCAATGACCTCAATTTCTTGTGGTCCTTGTTCTGGCGGCTCCGGCTCCTCGGTAGGTTCAAGCAATTCCGCTGCTTCTCCCATGAATTCGTAAGTCGCTTCTTCTTCTGACTCCTCTGCCATTGGTTCGGGTGTGTCAGGGGTGTATTGATTCGGAAGGGGAGGACCTCCCCAGCTGGTGCCGCGAGTTGCCCAGTAAGGGTCGATGGCGGCGACATCCGCAGGAGGGAGTCCAGCTGCTTCGGCATGGGTTTGCGCCTCTCGTTCGGCTTCAGCTGAGGTTCCCTATCCTCCGCCAGCGGTCTCTCCTGTTGCTGGTGCCGTGGCGGTGCCCCAGTCAGCCGTCCTTGCTTCCCCTGTTGTTGGAAGCGAAGTTCCCCAACCGGTCGCCCCGACTTCTTCCGTTGAAAGGGCGCCCCAGCCACTTGTGGCCGCTTCTTATGGAGTTAGTATTTCTCCCCACGGACCAAGTGCTGTCTGTGAAGTGCCCCAACCCCATCTAGTTGTTCCGCTTTCCCCGGTGGTTGGTGCCGCAGATGGAGACGTTCCACTGTCTTCTTCCATTGTGGCAGGTTCGGCTTCTGTAGGAGTGGAGGTCGATGCAACTGGAACGGTGCGCAGGCGCAGGAGGCCGTCGGAGGTGGGCTGCTCGAGGTCCATTTCCGCCGGATGGGACCATGTCGGCGCCTTTGCAGGGGTCGTCTTTAGTAGCAACGTGCGGTCGGAGTCGCCGGTGGTTCCTTGAGCCGAGAATTGCAGCACAAAAACTCCATCGTCGTCTATCGCCTTGCCGATGTAAGTCTCGTTGTAGAATAGCTCGAAGGTTTTCTCTTTGCGATTGCTACGAATATCGACTCCGCACCTCATGAGCTGAGCCGAGGAGAGTAGATTGTATTGCAGCT